GGTCTGTCTGGTTAGTTTAACCGTCAAGTAACTAAGAAGATTTCTTGTCTGTATAGTGGAAGAAGTCAGGGTTAATATTTTTTAGAGAGTAGTTAGAAAGGTCACAAGAGAGTTGAAAAGAAGACAAAAGGTGAAATACCAGGCAATTTTCTCTTCCAATATTGATTTTTATAAAGTAATATCCCTGGAATATAGCATGCTATGAACAACCCTAAATTAGCAACCCCCCACAAGGGTTGCTTTCTCACTTTCTCTCTCTCTCTCTCTCTAGCGAGGTACAAGGACTATAGCAAAAAAAGATTTTAAATGATTTTTTTTAAAAAGGAAATTTTTAAAAAATCAGAGAACCTTCTTTTTTTAATTGCCAGAGGGCATGTGTGTTCATGCTTGCATAAATGTGTGCACCAACAGAGAAAGGGAAAGCACCCCTCAATAGGGGGTGGTCATACCACAATTCTTTTTCTTCCAATTCTCCATTCTGTCAAGATTTTGGCCAAGTGTGTTTCTCAAACCACTAGGAGCAGAATTCAAATCACAGTCCGCTATGTGGAATCCAGCTTTCCATAAAGAGTGTGTGGCTATGGGACGGAACAGAACCTAATCCTCTTTTTTTTTTTTTTTGTACCCCAGTGGTCCCAAAACTATGATCTCAATTCTTTTTTTTTTTTTTTTGAGAGGTTTTTGCTATAGGGCATGTGCACTCGCCAGAAAGACAGAGACAGAAAGTGAGAAATCACCCCCCAGGGGAGATGGCCACACTGCAATCCCTTCTCCTTCATTCTCCTCTCGGGATCTTGGGCACGCACGCACATGCGCCCAGCATGAGTTTAAGCCACCAGGTCTGGTACTCAAACCGCATTCGACTCCATGGGAGTCCACAGACATGTAACACATTAACATCAACTGCTGGTTCCATGACCTCAGTTCTTTAATTACACCCTCAGTTCAGCCAAGGCTAACACCAAAGCAGGAACTGAGAAGGAGGAAGCTCTGGGGACAAAGAGTGAAGAGTTTAAGGGGAGTTCCCCAAGTCAGCCATCCAGCACTGTCACTTTTAGACTCTCATCTGCCTGAGTCACAAGGTGGCACCTCCAACCTCACCCTCACCCTGAGGTGCCATCCTTGGAGAAACCGGCCCTCGTCCCTTCCCTGATCTTACTTTCTCTGTGTGCACTCCTAATTACAGAGGCAGTCCCAGGGAAAGGCCTCTCCCCTGGCCAGCCCCACATTTGTGAAAAAGACAATAAGGTTTCAAAGGCTAAACTTTCCTAGAATTCAGCTCATCTCTTTTCTTTCCCAGCTCGGAGGAATGAAAGCTGGAGATCAATGTACTGGTCAATAGTCCAGGCTCCCTCTAGTCTTGGCAATAAATTCTACCAGGCAAAATGTGAACCCAGAGCAATTCCTTGACACTCAGAGGTTTTATCCAGAATGCATTGCCATAAAGAGACCCTGAAGGCTCAAGTTAACTGCAGGGACTTCAAAGTTACGCAGGGCCTTTCAGGAACCACAGCCTCATTCGCTGAAAACACAGAAACCGGCCTTGCCAGCGCTTCTGTCCACATCCAGGGAAAGCATTCTGGCTGGGTTATTTCCAGGACTTTCAGACCCTGGAAAGGAGAGTCACTGAGGTGATAGCCCACAGCTCTCCTTGACTCTCACTTAAAGAAAGTGAGCAGCCCCCCAGGAGCCAGGCCGCTGCAGTCTCAGGCCAGAACTCCCTCAGGACTCCTGGTTTCTTTGCCTGGACTTGGAACAGGGCAAAATAACCTCCCTCTACTTGTTTCCTGAACAC